CAGCCGCTCTCTGGGTCTCACTGCCCACTCAGGACCTCACAGCTGGCATAGCAGGTGCAGGTCTGGGGTAGATAAAAAATATATTGGTCTCTGTCCCAGTTCATAGAACAGAGCTCCTAAGCTCCATGAAATTTCCTGAGCAATAGGAGTGTGTATTTTTTTAAATATGTTTTTATTAATTTTAGAGAGAGAGAGGAAGGGAGAGGGAGAGAGAGATAGAAACATCAGTATTGATTGGCTGTCTCCTGCAACCCCTCCCAGCGGGGATCAAGCCCACAACCCAGGCACGTGCCCTGACTGGGAATCAAACTGGCAACCTGTTAGGGCAATGGGAGGATACCCAACCACTGAGCCACACTAGCTGGGCAATAGGAGTGTTTTTTGTTATTCATAACAAACCCCTTTCAACCACACTTGAGTTTATGCTAATGAGGTGACTCAGGGTAGACCCCTAGATGACTTCAGAAGGGGAGCTGGTCCCAGAAAGACCAAACTACCACCTTGGCAATCCCACCCCAACCCTTGACCTCCAGGTAGGAGATGGAGTCTGGAAATCAAGTTATAAAAGCTCACAAACAGTGAAAGAGATTTGAGGGGCTTTCAAGGAATTTCCTGGTAGGTGAACACATCCATGTGCCAGGAGGTTATTGTTCCCAATTTCATGGGGACAGAAGCTCTTGTGCTCTGGACCCTTCCTGACCACACCCTATGTACCTCTTCGTCTGTTCGTATCCTTCATCATAAACTGCAATAGTAACTATAGTGTTTTCCTGAGTTCTGTGAGTCATTCTAGTAAATTATTGAACCCGAGGGGGGCCATGGGAGCCCCCAGATTTGCAGTCAGCTAGGCAGAAGTGTGAGTTTCTTAGAGATGCCATATGCAGTTAGCATCTGAAGTTGGGCGGGCCTTGTGGGACTGAGCCTTTAACCTGTGGCATCTGCACTAACTCCTGGAGTTAGTGTCAAAATTGAATTGTAGGACACTCAGCTGGTATCAGAGAAATGGCTGCTGTCAGAAAACACCACACAACTGGTGTCAGAAATGATGTCAGAAAATACCAAATAGGACCTACCCAGATCCAAGATCTCTCCTCTAGCTGATTGGCTTCGTGAGCCCCTGAGTTGATCAGGTTGGGACAAACTCAAAAGGAACTGATGGACAAGCAAATGTGCTGGTTTTAATGAGAACTTCCAGGAGAAACAAATACTGCTTCAGGGGGTTCCTGCTGCTTGTGGACCTAGACTAAGAAGCCAGGGAAGTGAGGCGTCCCACTGGAGCTGTGTGAGCCTGAGTCTCCATCCCTCTAGGCAGGTAACCAGCTAAACAGAATCAGTATTCCCACTGGCTGGTCAAGGTACCGCTTCCAAAGTCAGTTCTGAGGATACTAGCAGGTTCTCATTCCCATTACATCGGATAATTGCAATCTTATCAAAATTGATCACATTTTCTTTAACTCATAGAAATCTAATTACATATTTTTCCCCCTAGCTCGCCAGCAACCCATTTACAAGATGTCAGTTGCAACCTTGCAAATGGCTTGTTCTACCCATATTGTGTTGCTTTTTCCTACGTTCATTTTCAGTTCCTACATCCTGTTCCCATGGCTTTTTCTCAAATCTTGGAGTCAACCTCCAGTAGGCCCCTGAGCACTAACTAAGAAGCTGGCAGCCCACTCCCATGGTAAAGCCCTCCTGAAAGTGCCTCCTCCTGAGGTTGGGCCGGGAGAGCAGCTGCGGTCCAGAGCCTGTGTTGTGGATGGCCACGTCAACTCAGCCTACAACTAGCCGAGTACACACTGATCTGCAGGCTAAGAAAGGGGGTGGTTGTCTACACCCAGTTCATGATGCCATGGCTTTGACTGTGTGTGTGCATGCGCGTGAGCGTGCGTGTGCATGTGTGTGTGTAGTACAGAGCCACCATCCATTGACCAGTTACCTCCTGTCCATGAAAGCTGACCTGAGAGGAAAGGAGTAGGAGGAATGTGAGCGCACCCATTGCTGGAGTAGTCAACAGCTCTGCCTGAGACCCCGGAGCATCTGCCAAGCCCCTTTCCCTCCACATGGGAGGGGAGCTGCTGAAGGTATCTCCCGGAGGCCCATAAGAGGCCCCGGGGTGGTGGCAGAAAAGAAAGGACCTGTCTTGGTTTCTATTTCCCCACGCACAGGAAGGGCCCAGGCCTGACCCACTCAGGAGCTACTTCCTCCTAGGACCTGAGAAGCTGAGGGAGCCTCAAAGTAGGTCTTTGGGGATCTCTTGTCCAACTGAAAGGGTGGAGTCTGGGCCAGGAGAGAGCATAGTCCTCCAGATGTGGTGGCCTCAGAGGCATGATCAGCAGGACTCCTCTGGCCCCCTCTTCCCTGTCCCCATTCCCCCCAACTCCTGGCTCCCAGCACTTACTTCTCCCATAAGAACAACACCTGCCAACAGGAAAGAAATGCCAGGAGGCCTCTCTGCTCTCTGGCCAGAAAAAAATCAAGTGGTTATTTTATACATTAACATCAGAACCACTCATTGGCCGGGACCTCTTACACATTGGCTTTTCCTGTGCCTACTAAAGGGTATGGGCCATGCTCCTAGAGGTGCAGACCCAAGAAGTTTTTCAGTCATCCACGTAAACCCCTAACAACACAGGGTGGTCAGCTGTCTTCCAGAGAGTGCCTAGATCCAGCTGACAGCTGACAATGTCTCTTCTTCAGGCATCTCTCCTGGGACTTGTCTTGAGGACCACCCTTCTCTCATGCTCAGTCTGCCTGGTAGGGCAAGGTTGAACCCATACCCAATTCCCAGCCCTTGTGGCTCTGTCAACATAACCACTTCCCTGTGAACAGGGTCTCTGGGAAGAGTGGGAAATCTAAGGAGTCTCCCCCTTGGGAGTAAAGCCAGAGAATAGAAGACGGATCAGTGTACATCTGAGAGAAAGATCACCAAGAAAGTCATGACACTGCAGGCCTCGCTCTCCTTCGTTTTGATAAAACCAGGGGTAAGCGCTGCTCTTATTCTGTAGCTTTTCCAGAACTGGGATTTCCTTACTGCATGTTAATTTGGAACCCCTACTGGTTCCTGAGGATACCCCGGGACTTTTTGTCTAGCAAAACAGATGGCCTTTCCGGCACATCCACCAGTACACCCAGGAATAAAACGTGCACACAGAGGGAGGCCTTTACCCAGGCAGATTTTATTCTAATGTTCTTGGAGGTGAACTCTTCAGGTAGTGAGGGCCACACGGGGCGTGGGAAGACAGGACGTGCAGAAGTAAGAGGAGGTGCAGGGCGGTGAGGCAGAGGGGCTGGGCCTCAGAGTTACCGAGTGAAGGGAGGGGAGGGATCAATGGACGCCAGCCCCTGACCTGAACCAGTTGAGCCTGTCCCAGGGAAGAAGGGGTTCAGACCTCAGAGGATGTGGACAAGGAGGAGGATGGGAGCATGGCATGGACAGGATCCCCACGAGCAGAACTGTTCCTAGAGAACACTGCCGTCTAAGCAGGCAACTGGGAATTTAGGGGGTCAACTGGAATAGCGCTGAGTATCAGTATCAGGAGAAGCACTTGCATGTCTGGAGCAGCTTTCCTGGATAAAACTGAGGCTTCTCTGGAGGGCCTTAGTCTTCCAGTGGTTCTCCCTGCCTCTAGTCTTACCTCCCTCAAGTCCTGTCACCATATTGCAGGCAGAATGCTCTTTTCAAAAAATAATTAGTTATACACACATCATTACTAGCTCAGCCAAGAAGAAGCAGCAACACCCCAACAGCAGCGGCACCCAGATCTTGGCAAAAACCCCAGAGTGTTGCCCCACATTATGGGTCCTGATCCATCAAATGAGGCAATTTGAATTTCGAAATTCTCCCCACCCCACCCCCTCCCATTTTAACCCAAGATCTCCTTTCCATTCCAGCTGCTTCTTGGGGTCTCAGAACTTCCAGCCAAGGCAGACAGACTCCAGATGCCTTTGGGACAATTTTGAAGCAAGGAAAATTAAGGTGCAAAGTCACCCTGGAGCATGGAGAAGGAAGTGGCACATCCTTGAGTTTGACAAGCACTGGAGCTCTAAGTGCCAGCTTGGAGACCAGTCCTGTCATGGTTCTGATGGAATATAAGGACGTTTACAGATGAAAAGGTACTTATTGTCACAGGAGGCATCATTCCATGACTGAATTGAGGAGGCCTTTATATTGGCACAGTGTTCATTGTTCCCATAATTATTAGGTTCACCTGGAATCCAGAACCTACCAAAAGAAAACACAAAGAAAAACTTATTTCCAATGAAGAAATAAGTAACTTCAACCCCAGCGTTGGTCCTAGGTGATAATGTCACAAGATTTTGCTCCCAGGCCCAAGAAAAGGAAATTGGTGAGCTGTCCACCTCTCAGGCTGCAATCACCCCCAAATTAGGACCGAACCAGCCCACCTCTCTCAAGGCTCTACACAAGCCCACAGTACAACACCTAGAATAGACCAGGCCCCCTGCCGGAGCTGGCTGGACAGCCATGCTGCCAAACGCCAGAGGGTACAGAGAGGCCACAAATTTGTCCCCGATCCCACAACCAATTAGTGGCAGAGCTGAGCTGGATTTTGGTTTAGTGCTCCTGCCACTCGTGGACAGGGAAGAATCAAAACCCTGTAGTCAGAGGGAAATATCACCTCATACTTCTGCCCTGGCCCTGAGCCAAAAAAGTCAAACTGGGAAGGGGGGCTTTGGGGGGCCTTACCTCATACTCCGGACCTTGTCGAATGGAGTGTCATCCACCCAGTGCCAGTCCCCATCACTCCCTGCTTTGGTCAGGCCGATCCAGTAGAAAAGTCCACCTGCTGTCTTGTACAGAAACTCCTGTAGGGAAGACAGGATGAGCAGAGACGCTGCCATCACTCGGAGTTAGAGCACCTGTCTCTCTGGGTGTTTCTCACCTGTCCTCAGTGACAACCTCTGAACCCACAGATACGCCTGCACACTGACTTTTCTCAAGCTTCTTCCTGTCCCTGCTCAGAGCCCAGAGTCCATCTTCCAAATTCTGATTTGTCTTTGCTCTGCAACTAACAGACTCGGGACTCGGGCCTTTCTGCCCCTCAGGAAGCAGATGCTGGAGCACAAGCAAAAAATCAGCTAAACCCTAGAGCAGGGACCCCAGGAGAGTAGCTCAAAAAATAATATCTAAGTTTAGTGAGCGCTTAATATGTACAAGGCACTATACATTTATATGCCCTTACTTGGGTATGGTTGTTTTTTGAGACAGGTACTATTACTACTTGTGTTTCATCTGGGACTAGTTAGAGGCAGGGTTGGGACTCTAGACTCTGACCCCAGAGCCCATGCTCTTGCCTGCACTAGCACACCACCCAGATGGAAGGGGTTTGTTCAATTTTCTGTCTCACCAGGTAGAAGACTTCTTGGGTTCTGCAGTGTCATTAATGCTGTTTACAAATATTTCTGTTTTCTGGGCACCCAGAAAGATGGTACCCCCCCTGCCCTGTTTGAAGCTAAGAGTGTTACATCATTTGCTTTGCAAAGGAAATGTGAGTAGAAGAGATGTCTGTTATTTCCAGGAAGAGCCAGCACACAATTTGTCATGCTTCCTTTTGCTGCTTCAGCAACTGTGGAAACATACATGAGATTAAGTCTCCTTTGGCCTAGATCCTTGAGTAACCACAATGAGCAAAACCCCTTGTCAGCCCTTGTTGGAAACATAGTATAAGTGAGAAGTAATCCTTCATTGTTAGGTCACTGATATTTGGGGATTTTTGTCACTGCAGCATAACCTTGCCCATCCTGCCTAATATAGCTACTATTCCACCTCCTTCCTAGAACCTGTAGTAACAGCACTCACCTGTTCACTGTCCGAGGTCACTGAGGTCAGTTGTGAATTCCTGGATGTGCAGTACTGATGGGCACTGTACCAGGTCTTTGGGACACGAGAAAAGTAATAGAAATTGTTCTTGAAGTACTTCCAGCCTTGAGAAACCATCTGTAGAATGTCATCTGGAGAACAAGGGTGAAAGGTGAGCGCTGGTATTCCTGCTTCCTCTGGGTGCTGGCTAGGTGGGGGCACTTGAGTGGGATCCCATAGACAGCAATAAACGGGGCTGGGCTCTGGGGTCCTTGTTTCCTTGTGTAGGGTTTGGGGACACTCTCGCATCCTGAAAGTCTGACTGAGATTAGTGGAGTCTCTGGGCTCAGAGAGCGGAGAGTGAGGGGGGGATGGATCAAGAATCTGGCTCCATGAGAGAAGCAGTTATCCACTGTCCATCACAAGTGGCTGAGACTCTGGGCTCTAGGTAAGAAACTTCGTGGAAAATAGCTAGGTTTGGGCCAGGACAGAGACTCCCTATATTCTGTGCTTTTGTGTGGGAGCCCGAGCTGGTTCCTGGTCCCCTGTCTTTTGAAAAGCTCCTAAGTCTTCCCCAGCCCCCATGCTGAGCCCCCTTGTCTTAGCTCTCCAGCCACACCTGCCCTGCTTCTCTCCCACTTCCCTCCACAAGCACCAGCCCAACGGCCTCAGGCCTAAGAACGGCAGGGTCCCACGGGCCACCATCAGCCTGCAATATTCTTTTCTGGGCCACTTACTTTGCTGTTTGAGTAACTTGCTGATATCCTCCAAACTGCTCTGGAGTCCACGGACCTTTACATTTAAAGCACTGGCTTTATCCAAATCTCTTTTTAATTCTGGGATCTGGGTATTTAAATTATAAACTTCCTCCCAGCTTCTCGTTAATGTGTGAATCTGTGCATTGGCTTCCTTCACACCGGTTTCCAGCCTCCGGATCTGAGAACGCACATGATCCAGGCTAACATTCACCATCCGGACCTGAATGCCAGCTGCCTCCACACCTCCTCTATTCCTCTTGATTTCAGAACTCAGGGTGCTGGTGTTGTCCACACGACCTTTCAGCAACTGTGCATTGGTCTTTACATCTGATAGTGTGCCCATAAACCAGGGATCTGGATTTGAGAAAGTCAAGAGGTCAATCAAGGGGATCCCTGGGAATGGGAGTGGGGGTGTCATCAGAGTGATAAAAGGGAAGGAAGAGAAGGGAAAGGAAAGGAAAGGAAGGGAATGGGAAGGGAAGGGAAGGGAAGGGAAGGGAAGG